ATACAGGTTGAATAAGTATGGTGAAAGAACACAACCTTGTCTCACACCTGTCCCAATTTTAACACATTCAGTGTTCCCATGCTCTGTTCGAACAACTGCTTCTTGGTCCAGGTACAGATTCCTCAGAAGTACAGGGTAAGTCAGGCAAATTAGCCAACCTAATTCCATTATGAAAGTTTTATATATTTACTTATGTATGTTGCTGCCATATCTGAACTGATCAGAAAAAAGCTGACAAAAATGAGCAAAGAATTCTAGCTCCATTGCTGTCATGATATTCCCTATGTGATCTCGGCCAAGTTGCATGAATTCAGTTTCAGTATACTTATTGGGACAGGCACTATGTGTTCACTAAAGCTCATTTCTCTTTCATCCCAGGCACACAGCTGGATTACATTTCTAAGTCTCCCTTACATTTAGGTGGGACCACTTGACAGAATTTGTTAGTGTAATGGAAGCTGAGGGATGTTTGCCATTCTAGTCCTTGTCCCCCAAACACCCCTTCGCACTGTTTCATGCTTCCTCTCTTTCATTTTCCTGTGTGTTGGCTCAAGGTAGAGAATCCAATAGGGGATTCTAGGTCCATAGGAGATGGGAGAGTCACTACATGGAAGGAATGTGGATCTCAAAGTAATTACATGGAACAGTGAAATTCCCACCCAACTTGCATTAGACTGCTATATGAATAACAAATATATTTTTGTGTCAAGCTACTGGACTTTTTGGGTTGTTATGACAATAGGAAATCATCTAATAAATTCTACCTAATAAATCAATCATCTATTAAATCTTATGATACTATGATTCAGAAACATTTATTAATAGATGCTACTCTGTGCTTTGTTTTATTATAGCTGTTTCTTAGAAACTGACTCCATGTAACAACTTGTCCTGAAAACAGAGCTAAAGACATTAAAGGAAAAACCCATGTTGGCCACCAGCGAATCACAGTTCTTGAGATTCAATCCCTTGTGCAGTTCCACAGTGAAGCATGGCTGGCCTGTGTGGTCAGTAGAATACTGTGGAAGAAATGGTGTGTGATTTCAAGTCTAAGCCATAAAAGACATCACAACTTTCTCCTTGGTCTCTTCTAGAACATTCACTCTGTAGGAAACCAGCTGCCATGTCATGAGAACAACTAAGTATCCTTATATGATGAGAAACTGAGATCGACTACCAACAACCATTGTGGTTCAAACTGACCTGTGGTCCAGTGCATTACCCTGCAGCAACAATTGTTATTGTTGTTGTTAGGTGCCTTCCAGTCGGTACCGACTCATAGCGACCCTATGCACAACAGAATGAAACACTGCCCGGTCCTGGGCCAACCTCACAATTGTTGCCACTCTTGAGCAATGCTGACACTTGGCCAATCCATCTCGTTGGGGGGGTCTTCCTCTTTTTCTCTGACCCTCCACCTTACCAAACATGATATCCTTCTCCAGTGACTGGTCCCTCCTGACAATATGTCCGAAGTATGAGAGACGAAGTTTGGCCATGTTGGCCTCCCAGGAGCACTCTGGTTGCACTTCTTCCAACACAGATCTGTTGGTTCTTTTGGCAGCCCATGGCACCTTCAATATTCTCCTCTAACACCGTAACTCCGTAACTCAAAGCATCAATTCTTCTAAGGTCTTCCTTATTCACTGTTCAGCTTTCACATGCATATGAAGTTTCTGAAAATACCATGGCTTGGGTCAGGCACAACTTAGTCCACAAGCTGACATCTTTGCTCTTCAACACTTTAAAAAGGTCTCGTGCAGCAGATTTGCCTAATGCAGCACCAATGGGAGACCCCAAATCAGGATCAAACAACTAAGTTGCTCCTAAATACTTATTCCACAAAAAAATGAGAAATAATAAATATTTATTGTTTTTTAAGGCACAAAGGTTTGGAGTAATTTGTTATACAATGAACAACTAAAATATGGCAGTTTATAAAAATTTCTAGTTTCCTAATGACTCTTTAATGTAGCATCGCTGCCTCTTCTTGAAACAGTGCACATAAGGGATCATTTTTTTTTTTTTATCTCCAAGTCACAGATGGTTGTATCATCTCTGTAGCTAGAAGGATATAGGGTGGAATCATTTGGAAATGGCAGTTTTGAAATTTAAGGCTGAAAAGTGTTTGCTGATGCTGATATCTTCTTGAAATCTTTAAACACGGTGGAAGACTCTGGAACAAAAAAGAAATTAGTGTAATATTTTTTGTTAATATTAAAATTACCACAAACATTTAAAATTATCAACTAGAAGAACAGTGGGCTACTTCTGAGAAAATTCAAATAAGATATCTGCATTTCTTCAATAGGATATGGAAATGGAGGATATCTGAGATATTGTAGAGCCTGTAAATGATATAATAATAAGAACTACCATAATAATAATTATTATTATTATATGGCATTAATATGGGGTCTACTTATGTCTTAGACCAGTATACCCATTACCTTCTACTGATTTCCCACAAAAGATTGTCTTATCTTAACATTTCCTTAAAATAGGTCAATTAGATAAATGACCAAATCTCAGTATAAATGGCAAAGAGATGGTAAAGAGAGTGTCAAAATTCTCAGGAAATAAGTATGAAACAGGACTTTTGTGTCAGAACTTTGTCCCTTAAATCGACTCACTAGGATTATACAGTGGAGTTCCAGAGCATAGAGCTTCATCCACAGAGGCGGGTATCTTGGCCAGTGAGCTTCTTCCCCAGGTGGGTAGTTGACAAAATTCCTCCAGCAGTGATCATACTCTAAAGAAACACAAATCTTGGTTCATTTGACAAGTACTATACAACAATCAAAAAGGAGCTCTGGTAGCGTAGTGGTTACGAATCGGGCTGTGAACCGCAAGGTCAGCAGTTTGAAACTACCAGCAGTTCTGCAGAAGAAAGAGGAGGCTTTCTGCTCCTGTAAAGATTTACAGTCTCAGAAACCCTGTTCAGGGTCATTATGAGTCGGACCCGACTCCACAGTACTTAACAACAATAACAACATACAACAATCAGTTACTTAAAGAGAGCTCCAATTTAAAAATACTTATAACTCTCTGGTAAACTCACTGCTGGAGATGGGCTAGGCTTCCCCAGAGCCCCTAAAATGAACACAGTAGTTTATCTAAAAGGAGTCTGGTAGCACAGAGGCTAAACTCTCAGTTGCTTACCAAAAACTCATTGGTTTGAACCCACCAGCAGTTTAAAGATGGCTGAGAGGACACAATGCCAAGAATAAAGACAGGAGCCTTATATTTGATACTTTCCTTGTCATCAGTTAAAGACCTGATCCTTTCTCACATTATTTTGGACTTTGACTTCTGAGATTTCTAGTCTGGGATAACCAATCTCCTGACCTAAAAGAGAATACTACCAATAAAATCTCTCAAAACCACCGAAAAATTTTTATTTGCTTGTTTTTACCTGGACCTCTCATGATCTGGACAGTTACACCACTGGTAATGACAAGGTCCCTGAGTTCTTGCCGGTTTTGTGGATCCATGTGATGAAAAATCCTTGCTACATACATAACAAGGGTCACATTGGAGTGTTGGCTCAAAAATTCTTTAATAGCCTTGCAGCATTCCCAACAGGGACTCCAGGACAAGAACCAGGTGATGCAGCAACTGACAGATGAGGAAAAATTTCTTTCTGAGGTAAATTTTTCTATGAAATTGATTTCAACATGCTTGGTTGTGTTTAGGCCTGTGTTTCGCCAGATTTTGTGACTTGTGCCCCACTTGATTTCATACAGCAGGCAGGTTTCTTTGCGGAGTTCCCTGGGGTCGAAGAAGGTTTCAAATTCCCAGGGTTTGATTCTTCTCCTGGAATATAAAAAGCAGGGGGACTTTAGGAATTATTTCATGCACTCTTTCTCTAGACTCTTCTATCTACATCCCTTAAGCAAAGGTCTCAACAGTGGCCTCCTTGTTGTAACAGTATGTAGGGGAAATGAGTAAATCATGGAAATAGGAAGATAAAATCAATGTAACAGACGAATTCCTTAAACATGAATTCCTTTAATAACTATAAAACATGTGATTTAAACAAAGACTAGCAATAGTAGGACAATACCAGAGAAGCAAGCTGGAAGATTATTTAAACAGAAAATAAAGGACATTGGAGAAAAGATAAAGGAAACACTCATCACAGAGAATGAAGTTGAAAAGGCAAAAAGAAAGAGAGAATACAGTAAATGAGAAGAACAGTAAAAAAAAAAAGCTATAATTTTGAAGGTTTCCATAGCCACTGACTCTTGGTTGAGTTAAACAGGCACTGGCACTGTGGGATACAGCGCTGGACCACAACATCCGTTTGAACACAAACTTGGTGGTTCAAACCCATTAGCTGCTCCTTGGAAACCCTGCACAGGGTCACTATGAATCAGAACCAACTAGACTGCACTTAACAAAAACAACATAATAGTATCAGAAGTTCTGTTGTGGACTGCTAACTACAAGGTTGGAGGTTCAAACCTACCAGCTGCTCCTCAGAAACCCTATACAGGGTCACTACTAGTCAGAACTGACTGGACAACACTTAGCAACAACAACCACAACATGATAGTATCATTCTTACCTCAAGGTGGCATCCCCAGTTGAAGGACCTATTGACAAAGAAATGATTATGTCAGATAACACCCAAATACAATTGAACTTGTAAGAAAATTGCTTTGTTCTTCCCAACTTGTAACCCAAAACAGAAAGCAGAGTTAAAAGATTTTCTCTTGGATTAATCAGATTGGACTACCTGATTGCATCAGAGAAAAGCAAGATTTTAAAGGGTCCTGCTGAAATTTCTCTTTGAGTGATATTAACCTGGAGGGATGGAGAGAAAGAAGAAACAATCACTACTCTAAGGGTAAAAAAACCAGAATAACTTTAGTACCAGAACTGAGAACTGAGAACTAAGTGTTGATATAGCTATTACTCTGTCACTAAACCCACAATACATAGGGCCTCAGGAAATGGAGATAATTTTGCTCTCTCCTTCAATCAAAGGACCCTCTGTATAGCCACAAGCTCTGGTTGGCTATTGTATCCATCAGTTTACTGTCAACACTGGGGCATAATAGCAAAATAGCCAAGCAGAGAGTACTATTGCTACTGCTGTTAATGTTAACTCAGTTCTCACTCAAACTCATGTGTGGAGGATGAGGTTTTCAAGACTGTGACGTTTCAGAAACATATCACTAGACCTGTCTTCCAAGACAATGAGTGGGTTTAAACCACCAATCTTTCAGCTAGTAGTTGACTGCTTAACCATTTGTACCTCACAGGGACTCCTAAGAGGATACTATACCCACACCCACTGGAGTCCTGGTGTGGTGCTTTGGGATAGAGCACTGACTGAAAGTTCAGTTTGGAACACAAGGTGGGCAGTTCAAACTCACCAGGTGCTTCAAAACCCGATATAGGGTCACTGTGAGTCAGAACTGACTTGACAGCACTCAACAACAACTTTCATCAAGTCGATTCCTACTCATAGCAATACTATATAGGGTTTCCAAGACTGTAAATATTTACAGAAGTCCTGCTATGGTACTGTGGGTTAATGTACTGGACTGCAAGGTCGGTTTGAACTGCAAAGTCAGCAGTTCAAGCTTGCCAGCGGCTCCACAGAAACTCTATACCGGGTTGCTGTGAGTCAGAACTGGCTCGACGGCACTTAAAAACAACAACAAATATTTACAAGAGCAGATACAGCTTCTTCTTTCCCAAGGAGCAGCTAGTAGTTATGAATCACTAACTCTGTGGTAAGCAGCCCAATGCCTATCCCACAGTCCACCAGAGCTGCTTAAAGAATACTTACTTACTGCAACTGAGTCAATTCCAGCTCATAGTAACCCTGTCAAGGGATTCTGAGGCTTTTTCTTTATGGGAGCAAAAATCTTTATCTTTCTTCCCAGGAGTAGCTGGTGGGTTTGAACTGTCAATCTTGAAGTTAGCAGGTCCAGTCCTTATCCTACAGTGCCACACCAGATACTAGTGACCAGCAAATAAATCACCCCTAGAACTTGGCAAACTACAGTTTGTTTGAGGGGTGGGTGTGGAGATACACTTGCTTATCCTTTTAACAAATATTAATTGAAAACATACTGTTAAGCATTCTTCTAAGTCCTGGAGGTACAGCAGTGGATAAAACAAATCCCAACATTCCCAGAAGTTATATTCTAAAAGGGAGGAGAAGCAATAAATGAAATTTAAAAAATGAATATATAATACAAAGTCAGTAGGAAAAAGTGCTATGAAAAGAAAATATTATAGGAGAATAAAAGGTGATGGTGGAGGCTATATTGGATAGGATGACTAGGGAAGGAACCTTTGAAGAAGAATATTTAAGCAGAGACCTGGTTGTATAGTGAAAGAGCAAGACGTGAACACAGGGGAAGAACATTCCAAACACAGGAAACAACTAGAACAAAGCATCCAAAGTAATCTTGAGGAACAGCAAGGAGGTCAGCACAACGAGGTCCAAGTGATACAGAGGCAGACGAAATTGATCATATAATGCTTTATAAGCTCTGAGTTTCATTCTAGATGTAATGGAAAACCACTGGAAAGTTTGAAGATGGTTCAAGTAAAAGTACCATATTGTAGAGGTCCAAGCCTCTCAGTAATCAGAGCACTGAGGACGCTATGATCCAGATATGAAAGGAATTCTGACCAGGCCTTTGCTCAGAATATTTATGGTTGTTAGCTGCCATTGAGTTGTCCCCTCATGGTGCCCCATGAACAATGGAATGAAAAACACTGCCCAGTCCCACACCATCCTCAAGACTGGTTGTGATCCACAGGGGTTTTCACAGATTGATTTTTAGAAGTAGATTTTTCTTCTTAGCCTTAGTCTGAAAGGTCTATGGATACCTGTTCAGTATTATAACAACACACAAGACTCTACTAACAGATGGTGATGGCTACGGATGAGGTACATTGACTGAGAATTGAACTCAGGTCTCCTTCATGGAATGTAAGACCTCTATTACGGAACCTGTAAGGGTCCCTGCAGAATATTTATGACACAGAACTCGGATAGCAAAAATGCTACACCTTCTTCTTTATTTTTCCAATTATTAACTCATGTTAAGGATTTGTTCCTCATTATTTGGAGCCCTGGTGGTGCAGTGGTTAAAGCATTTGGCTGCTAACTGATAGGTAAGTGGTTCAAACCCACCAGCCTCTCAGTGGGAGAAAAATGACACAACCTGCTTCCAATAGATTTATAGCCTTGGAAGCCCTATGGGGACAGTTCTATTCTATCCTTCAGGGTCACTATGAGTCAAAATAACAACCACTAAAGCCAGTGAAGTTGAAATTGAACAATTCTACCAACTTCTTCAGTCTGAAATTGATCAAACATCCAATCAAAATATATTGATAATTACTGGTGATTGGAATGTAGAGGTTGGAAGCAAAGAGGAAGGATCAGTATTCGGAAAATATGGCCTTGGTCATAGAAACGATGTTGGAGATCACATGATAGAATTTTGCAAGACCAATGACTTCTTCATTGCAAATACCTTTTTTAAATAACATAAAAGATGACTATACACATAGACCTTACCAGATGGAATACACAGAAATCAAATTGACTACTTCTGGGAAAGAGACAACAGAAAACAATCTACCATATCATCAGTTAAAACAAGGCTAGGGGCAGACTGTGGAATAGACTGTCAATTACTCATATGCAAGTTCAGGCTGAAGCTCAAGAAAATTAAAACAAGTCCAGAAGAGTCTAAATATGACCTTGAACACATCTCACTGGAATTTAGAAATCATTTCAAGAATAGATTAGATTCATTAAACACTCAAGACTGAAGATCAGAAGAGTTAGGGAATGACATCAAGAACATCATACAAGAAAAAAAGCAAACCGTTATTAAGAAGTCAAGAAAGAGGAAAAAGACCAAAATGGATGTCAAAAGAAACTCTGAAACTTGCTCTCCAGTAAAGAGATGCTAAAATAATTGGAAGAAGTGAGGAGGCACAAGAGCGGAACAGAAATTTTCAAAAGTCAGCTCATGAAAACAAAGTCAAATAGTATAACAAAATAGGTCAAGACCTGGAGCTAGAAAAATCAAAAGAAAAGAACATGCTCAGAATTTCTAAGCTGAGAGAACTGAAGGAAAAATTCAAGCCTCAAGTTGCAATATTAGAGGATGGTTGATGTTCAACCATTTCAAGAGGTAGAATATGATGATGAGCCAATGATACTGAAGGAAGTCCAAAATTCATTGAAGACACTTGCAAAGAATAAGACTCTAGAAACTGATGGAATACAAACTGAAATATTTCAATGAGCTGATGCAGCACTGGAGGCACTCACTCATCTATACCAAGAAATACAGAAAACA